ACAACCTGTTCCCCACCGATTCTAGCTACATCGGTAAATTTCCCATGTTCTGGCATACCACCCCTAGCTTATACACATATTCCGGTGGCGCCTCCTGAAGGTCATCATGTTCCAACTCCTAATAGACTTTCTCAACCACCGTCGAAAAGATCATCCGATTCTACAGGAGTGTCAGTGTGGGATAAGTTGTCGAGAGCTAGAGCATCTCCTCAGAAGCGTAGTCCGCGCGTGGTAAAACTGAAATTAGTTGATGATAATTGATGGCATCACAATCAACATAAGAAATTTCCTGCCATCCCTGTTACATCTGCTGGTTTAACCCGTACCCAAAAGCGCGGATGGCAACGACTTTGCGCCGGTTGCTATAAAGACATCCAAATGAGTAGGTAGTCAAGGTCACCACCGAACCAATCCGGTACTCATAAGCCATAGAATGCTAATGGTTCGCTTCCTAAATGGTAATATTAGCATAATGTAGCAGATTGTAATCCTTCAGTCAACATGGTGTATGTCTTACCTAAAACATTTCGCACCAATCCGAAGATACCTATAGATGTTCTAATTGTCTTGTTACCAAACATTGAGATCGTGAAGACCTCTAATATTGTTGTTAGCAGCACAGAAGAAGTTCTTTATTCTGGTGTTCCGCAGAATGGCATCCAGATTGTTGCACAGTCAGGAAAACCTTAGATAGTAATGTTGACACAACCGACTGATACGGATATTACTCACATCCGGCCATTATTCATTTGCGTTAATATGGCTGGTGTGCCACTGAAACGCGTCTTGGTGGATAATGGAGATACTATCGATGTTTTACCTTTTTCGACCATGCGCAAGTTTGGTAAACACATGAAAGATTTGGTTCCTATTGAGATTTTTGTTAGTGGCTTTATGGGAGACGTAACCAGTACTCGTGGTATTCTACCTTTGAAGGTCGTCGTGGGTTCACAATCGATAGTATCTGCTTTTCTTGTGGTTGATACTAAGGCATCATACAATGTGTTGTTGGGCCAAGATTGGATTCATTTAGTCTATTGCATGCCCTCTTCCCTATATCAGGCTATTATTTGATGGGGGAAAAAAATGGCCCAGAGATCATTAATGCAGATGCCGCTCCTTTCACTACCCAAACTAACTCGGTTGAAGCATGTGACAAAGATGTTGGTGCCTACCGCATACTTAGGATCAACAAATATGGTCGGCCAAATCAAGCCACCATGCGCCCTGGTTTTACTCTTCCTGAGTGGAAGATGTTGTGGCAAGAAGTCAACAAGCCGCAGAATTATAAGCTGCTTCCGCTATTGACTTCCGCTATCATCATTGAAGAGGTTCCCAATGAAAACAATTGATCAGTTATCTGAGCTGGATAATGACTCTCTTGATTTAGAGTTAGCACAAGCTATTAAGAAACGAGACGCCATTGAACGTGTTCTTAATTTCTTTGATGCTGAACGCCGGTTCAAGGCAGAACATCCAGAGGTTAATTGGGAAGATGTAATCTATGGCGTAGATCTGGAAACTGATAGCAATGTCATTGACCTGAATGAATTAGCGGTCGTAGATCTAAGTTAGAGGATGGCTCTTTGGCCACCAATGATCCTGTTATAACGGTTGATCTTGGCGATGGTACCATTCCAAAACCTACATATTGCTGAAAATTTGATTGATTGGTTAATCACAAACAAGATATTCAGTTTTGTGGACGGTAGCACTGGATATAATCAAATCTATATTGCTCATGAAGATGTTCCTAAGGCAGCATTCCATGCTCCATGGGCTTTGGTGATCTTCCAATGGAAAGTTATGCCTTTTGGTCTTAAGAACGCTGGTGCTACTTATCATCATTCCATGAATTGTATCTTCCATGATCTGATTGGTGACTTGCTTGAAGTTTATATTGGCGATGTGGTCATGAAGTCTCATTCTTTCCTTGGTCATTTACGCCATCTTGCCATCTGTTTTGAATGAATGTGGCAGTACAACCTTATACTCAATCCACTCCAGTGCACTTTTGGCGTGACGTCGGGGGTTTTTCTTGGTTTCCTGGTTCATTCCAGAGGTATTGAAGTTGATTCTGAAAAGACCAAGGCTATTCTAGAGGCTAGACCACCACGAAACAAGAAGGAGTTTCAAAGTTTATTTGGCAAGATTAACATACAGCGTCGATTTGTTGCTAACTTATCTACAAAGATCAAGGCCGTTTCTCCATTGTTGAAATTACAGGCAGCAATAGATTTTTTACCGGAACACGAACATCAAGAAGCTTTCAAACATCAAAACAGCTCTCGGTCATACTCCTGTCATGGTAGCACCGATTTTTGGTCGATCGTTAAAGTTGTATATTTCAGCTATAGAGGATTCTCTGGGTTGTTTTCCGGCACAGGATGGCACTGATGGATATGAAAGTGCAATTCACTATCTCACTTACATTTAACCGTCACTGAACAAAAGTTGTGCTTCGCTCTTTATTTTGTTGCTACCAAGTTGCGTCATTACATGTTGCCAACACTTGTTTGTGTTATTAGCAAAATCAACTTGGTTCGCTATATGCTCAATCGCCTAAATATGAGCAGCCGCATCGGTAAATGGATGTCGAGACTTATGGAATTTCAATTCCAACATGTACCTAAGTCAGCAGTCAAAGGACAAGCTATGGCAGATTTCTTAGCAATACATCCTTCATCGGATGATAACTAGTCCGATATTGATGCAGCAGCCTTCCAGATCAAGCCCGTTCCGGTTGTTCCCTGGACCCTTTACTTTGATGGATCTGCCACTTTCCATCGTTCCGGAGATGAAATTGTTATTTGTTCTCCTTTGGGTAAGGTTTTGCTGGTCTATGTGCGATTGAATTTCTAAGTCACTAACAATTAGGTGAAATATGAAGGCCTCAATTACAGCCTTCGTACTTTGATTAACAATGATGCCCGACACGTTGACGTTACCTGTGATTCACCTCTTGTTGTCAGACACATGAACAATAATATGCAGCGTAAGGATAACATTCTGGCTAAATATGCTCCTCTTGGAGATGAGTTTCAATTGAACTTTGATCATATTACTTTCACAAACGTGTTGCGCCTTGATAACAAAGAAGCGAATGCCATGGCACAATTGGCCTCTGACTATGTTCTAGATATGGATCCTTCTTGGCAATACAATTCATTAGAGCTTGACTTCCCTGTTTATCATGCACAGGCCTATGTGTATGTTAATGTTATCCAACCACAAGTTAACTTTGGCGATTGGCGGCTGCCGATTCTTCATTTTCTTCAATATCCAGACACACAGACTAATGTCCAAACTCGGCAATGGTCTGCTCAATATGTTGTTCTTGATGGACAGCTTTATCGTAAGACTGCAGATGAACTCTAACTCAAATGCCTCAATCACCTGGAATCTACAACTATTATGCTAGAAACACATGAAGGTGTTTGTGGAGCACACCAAGGTGGCCGCAAAATGGCTTGGCTCATTCCATGATTGGTCTTGTTTGACCCAGGATTGAATATTGTTTGCCCGTGGTTGCATCGATTGTTAGCGACATGGTGATATTCCATGATTGCCGGCTACCCCTATGCAAGTTATTGTCAAACCATTGCCTTTTCGTTGCTCGGCTTTGGATGTGATCGGCATGATTCAGCCTTCTTCTTCCAGCGGGCATCAGTACAGTCTGGTGGCAACGGATTACTTTACCAAATGGGTGGAAGTTGTGCCACATAAGCATGTTGACCAAAAGGCGGTTATTCGTTTCATCCAAGAGCATATCTTGTACCAATTTGGGTTGCCTAAATCTATCGTCACAGAGCAAGGTCAATATTTCATCAGTGTTGACATGCAAGACTTTGCTATGGATGCTGATTTCTTCCTTACACATTCATCTCCTTATTTTGCTCAAGGCAATGGTCAGGCAGAGCCTAGTAACAAAATCATCAAGAACATCATATATCGTCACATAGATGATAAGCTAAGGGAATGGTTATTGCCACAAGTTTTCTGGGCTCAAATGTCTAAACGTGGAGAAACCCAAGCTACACCTTATGAGTTGGTCTATGGCCACGACGCGGTTATACCCATAGAACATTTGATTCCGTCGCTCCGGGTCACCAACCAGCATCCTATTGATTCAGTTGACTATGCTTTAAGTATACAAATTAATCAAGATCAAATTGCTGAAACCCGTAACAATGCTGAACGTCAGATAGAATATGAAAAGAGTCTTGTTATCAAACAATATAACCAACATGTTCGGCGACGTGAATTCAAAGTAGGCGATAAAGTATGGAAAGCAATTTTGTTGATTGAGGATTGCGATCCTGAGTACAGAAAGTGGACTCCGACCTGGGAAGGGCCGTTCATCATCCATCGCCAATTAGGCCGCAATGTTTAAACTTTGGCTTCTTTGGATGGCAAACTCAGTGACCGTTCCATTAATGCCGTATACCTTAAAAAGTATTATACACACATCATCAACAACAAGCTACGATAATTGCAGCTAGGAGATATTATCATAAGACATCAGGCGAACTACTTCTAATATCAAAAAAAAAAATCACCACATATTATCCGACCACAAAACAACAAACAAAAAGCAAGTTAATTTTTTTTTTTAGGCACACGTTGCCTTAAGTTGACACCACACACAGGTGGGATGTTGTTGATATCACTGGACTCTTTCTTTGTACTTCCGGTTGTTCTTCACCTTTGCCTCCTTCACCTGTTTCACTAGCCGACGACGTCTCCTCTAGCACAAGGACATCCTTCATAGCGCCTTTCAGAAAGTTCTACATCCTTGTGGCCTCTGCAATGATTGGTTGCACATTGTCATATTGCACTACTTTTTCTTTCAAGTCCAGTGCTCTTTCGTCCCGTATTTCCAGGGTTGTTGCGCTTTGTTGGGCCCTTTTTGCATAGATGTCATCTGCTTCTTCCCTTTGCTTATGGACGATGGCTAGCTCCAAATCCAAGGCGGCCTGTTTTTCAGCCAGATTCTTTGTCTATGTCGCAGCTCCAACAACTTGTGCAAGCAGTATCTTGGCTGTTTCCTCTGCTTCCTGATATGCCATTGCTAAATGATTATAGTCCTGCACATGTTTCACACAGATTTTGCAGCTAACTTTTCTCTGTTCAAAACCTGCTAAAAATATTCCCACTGTTCCCATTTCTGCTCCTGGTAAATCACTTTTCAAGATTGTGTTCCGTGCCTCTTTTAGTTCTTGGTGATACGGCGCATGCACATATTCAGCATGAATCTTGTACAAACCGTACAACACCATTAATGCTACCCCTATAGATTGTGTCGGCACACAGCTCGGTGTTGCCACTTGTTCTGTTTCTTCTAATGGCTTGGATAAGCATTTTTGAAACTCTTCCGCAGGGATCATAGCCGTAACATTCGTTTTCTGAGTAGGACCCTTCTGGGGAGTCTTTCCAGTTGATTCAGGGGGTGATGACACATGTTGCCCAGGACTACTATCGGCTTCTTCCTCCACCATCTCGAAGGCATTCTAGGTGTCGCTAGCATCCGACTCCTCTTCCGATAGGTCCAATGTCTCTGTACGTTTCTGTCACCAAGAACACAATCTTGTTATTCAGACTTACTGCATTACGAAAACAACTTCTCAAGTCACATGTTTAACTTTACCTTGGAGCTACTGGCGGATGGTTTCTTCATTATAGTCAGCCGGCTGGACTTTCGACACTTTAAATTTTTATCCCCAGCATCTATTTGCTTCCTCTTTGAAGCCTTCTTGCCTGCTGTGACATCATCACTTTCATCGGCACTACTACATCATCAGACAAATATATCATTTCAGTCTCATGCCATAAATACATTAATGGATTCAAACTATTTCCTATGGTACACATACCTGGAGGGGCTTGTTCGTCTGCCACAGTGGTTTTTGAGATGCCTGAGTCTATTGGCAACACCTCTTTTAGAACAACATCCTATCCTGAGGGATACAACGTTTGTATCACCTGTTCCATCCAAATAGGAAAGCCTCCCGCTGTATCTGTGACGATATCAAATGGCAGTACATTACCTTCGACAGCTGTTGTTCGCGATATCTTTTGAGCATAATAATCCAGCATTGACATCTTTTTCCTCTTGGAGTCCCAGGTGTTTCAACAAGCAACATCAAAAAAGAGGATACCCTGCACGAAGCCCAACTACCTTGCCACCATTACTACAAGATAGTATTTAGCATACATATGGCTCTCCCCAATTTGAGGCGACAGAACTTTGAAGCCATAGTACAAATCTCGGGGCACCAATAACCTTTTCCACACACTGGTCAGCCCTAGCGCACTACCATTATTCCAATTTCTAGATTGCGCTTCTACCAGTGTTTGAGCACCGAAAGTGGCATGCCAGTGTTTGTGTGACAATTCTTTCCAACACTGCTGTGATCTCCGATTTCGATTCCCAAGAGACTATTGCCACAAATTTGCTACCATATCTTGGTACTCCCATATGTATTACTCCTAGACATAGTGACTCATTCCCTATCAGGTTAACCCCGAAAACTCTTAAAAATGGGAAATACAAGTAAAACCAAAGGAATAACAACCAGATGGGGCCAAATACAGTCTCACCAGGAGAGTATCTAATTCCATACATACTATGGCATAGTAATGACACCATGATTTCACAAAGATTTATTGATTTCCCATATACCAACAACTGTCATATGATACACATCTTGGGTCATTTGGAATGACTTACCATAGATTATGTAGCGGTTCGGCCAGAGTGCCAGGAATCGGATATGTTGTACCAAATCCTTGGAGTCTTTATTGGATTTTTCCTTGATGCAGGCACCATGACTCCTTTGTTGTCCTTCACTGGCTTTTGCTGAATCCACTCCTTTGGTGTCCCCATCCACAGTCACATCAGTAATTACTGACAAACTAGTGATCACCGCCACATCCGAGAAAGTTGGGGTCATTAAACCCCAAGGAAAGCAAAATGTATTGCTGGGAACCACTCCAAAATCTTGATGTTACACCCAGCAGCACCTTGTTGTCGAATATCCCCATCTTACAGAATTGTATAAGATCAAATATCCCAGCCTTCTTCCACGTACCAGCATGGTGTTTTTCCATCTTCTTGGCCCAGGAGCAGAATTCATTATGCACTTTCCCTTTTTTCGACGGCCATGGCCATCCCCGAATTCGCCCGAACCCGGAACAACGTAACTTGTGTGTGGGCTCTTCTGGCTCTAGCACCGGAGTACACCGAAGGAGAGTAGCATTATCGACCATAAAACTAGGGCCCATGGAGTAATGCCCCGGTTCCCCATGTGGATTCAGTGGGTCAACAAAATCCAGCGAGAGCTCCAACATCTCCTCCAGCTTTACTGCGCGGATCTTCACTAATTCTTCATCAAATTTCACAGCATATGCTTCCACCATTGTTCTTGAGAGGATTGACTCATGAGATTAGGGATCTGGTGGTTGTTGTGGTGTAATGGGAAAATTGTGTGATTTTACCGTTGATGTGCATTGTGCCTATACCATTTTCGTCTCATCCAAATGGGCTGGAACTCAAAAGGCCAATCCATTGTTGGTCCGATAGATATCCAAAAGCACACCACATCGTGCTAGTGAACTATGCCTTCGGAGGACTTTATGTTGTCACCGATTTTACAAACGTGTCGGCCAACATAAGTTGTGAATCGGCCCAATCCGCTTGACGCGGCAATACCAAGTTTGAATTGGGAAAAGAAGATTAATCGGAGCATTTGTACTATCGGAGAAGGATTGGGAAATACAAGTCCGATTATGACTCTAAATCGGAAACACCAAAGCCTACTAGGAATCGGGTGATTGCACCGACTTTGGTGAATTACTGGAATCTATATAAAGAGAGCTAGGGTTCTATCATCGACACAACTCATCATCAACATATACAAATCAAAAGTATTTTCATCATACTTAGCCAAACATTGCACTTCACGGATTACACACATTCGTTTGAAATTGTTTGAAGCGCATATTGGTTTCCTTACTAATTATTTTCACACAAACACAAATAAATGAACTTATCAATTAAGAGCTGTAACTACACACCTTTGTCATTTCCAGGAGATTTAGGTCCTAGAATTAATATTCACATAATAGAAAATCTTTCATGCATTTCCCAGGCTTATATGGGACAAGAAAGACGGGCCAAATAGTATAATTACTACTAAAGGTACCAAATGGACTAAATCCATCAGTTGGAAGACACAACCTTACATTACGAGGATCTTCAGAAATTGTTCATAAACCTGATCAAAGTGTTTCCATGCTTCTCTATTAGCGGGATCTCTCATGATATTATTATCAATACTATCCCATTTCTCTTTATGCCACCTCATGTTAAAAGCTACATCTTTTTGCATAGATAATATATGAAGTCTTGACTTCAAAGGAAAATAGGGAAGAACTTTACATGGTACTTTTGAACCCTTTTTTTATACCTAGCCTGTCCACACTTAGCACATTCGGTAAGAGAAGCCTACTCCTTACGATAAAGAAGGCAATCATTGACATATGCATGAATCTTGTCATACTTGAAGCCTAAGTCCCAAACGATATTCTTAGCTTCATAGTAAGATGATGGAACTATAGCTCGAATAGGATGAGCTTCCTTAAAAATTCCAAGCCAAGTATCAAATGATTTTGCAGTCCAGCCACTCATAGTTTTTAAGTGAAGCAAGGCAACAATGAATGCCAACTGAGTGTAGGTTTTACACCCTGGATACATGTCATTCTTTGTATAATCTAACAATCTCATCATTGCATCTACTTCACTACCTACACCATCTTGGGTTATAGCATCATCCATCCAATCAGTTCCCCAATTAGCTTCTCCAATATCATGTAACATTTTATCCAATTCATCATCAGTAATTTCATATTCAACCTCTTCCTCCAGTGAATTGTTATATACATTTTCTTTACACGATTCACCATGGATTCACCATCTAATGTAACTTGTACTAATTCCATAATTTTGTCAATGTTACTCGACAAGTTCTTTCAAGGGCATGGTATTCTTTCATATTCATCATTATTCATGTAGGTGTATTTTAGAAAAGCTTTCCAGACCTAATATATAACACTCATCTAATTTGTTCTTTACTTTCATCCAACTCTTATGCATTTCCTACACAATTATTTTGAAGAGAAACTAATGCATATTTACTAGGCCCAAAACAAAATCAAAATTTTAAGTAACTTTTCAATGTAAAGATAAGGAATCCAAATAATAATTTATAATTTAGTAAAGTTCAAACCTTTCAACAGTTTGAAGCAACACGTTTGAGTTCACCACCTCAACAACTTCTACTGCAACTTTACTATTTTTTATTAAGCGTCAAACCCAAAATAGAAGTTCAAAATAATAAGGTGAAAAGGAAGGCCAACCGGTTAAACAACACGGTAAAATAGAGGTGTAGGAAATCACTTCAAATCTAAATTATTTTCATTATTTCCAATTATATATGATTGGTACAATTCTACATAGCATTTTGAACAATTTTACCTCAAAACCTAGATCTTTGTACTTACCCAAAAGGAAAAACTAGGGATGTTTAATCTTACCTGAAAATCAGTGGTTAAAACCTTGAATTGCTATTGGTTTTGTGCATTAGAAGATGATTAAATGGATTCTCTTCTCGGTTATTTCTCTCTCACATTAGCTTTTTTTTGGGGGGTTACTTCTTGTAGCTCTTCGTCTACTTCTTCTTCATCTCTCAAGCTTAAACTTGGAAGGGTATAAATCCTTATGTTGGTATCATTTGGACAAGTTTCATTTGGTTTCGATGACCTTCTAAACAAACCACATTTTCCCGGTCCATCCTTCTAAACAATAAGGTTTTAAAAATTTTAAAATAAAACAAAGACCTTCATTAAAAAAATAGGCAACTAGAATAACGGTACTAAAAGCTAATGACCTAAAAATGCATATTTGAATACTGAGACCAGATTAATCAAAGGCTAGTAGGACAGAAAGAACCCTAACTATTTGGTATTAGGTGTCTAGCTTTAAAGCAACAAAAAGAAGACAAATCAATTCTAGTTCTTCTGCTTTAAGATTTCAACTAATAAAACAAGAATAAACTCAACCACAAAACCTCCTCATAGCACGTTTATGGGAATTTTTACCATGGTAGGTCCGTTGATTACTTTTATGATATTTGAAGACTAATACACAAACATGATATAGCCGTCATAGACACACTATACTTTAGTTGACCAATATCTTCTCCAAAACCAAATCTCGGAGAAAGAATGACTACGATCCATTATCACATGTTTCTAGCGAGACGAAAAGAATGTGAAAACATTTAAAATGGAACTAGAAGAACATATTTTAAAGTAAATATTATTTTCTACTCTCAACTAAAGTTAATGATATGACAATCACATATGAGATCAAGTAATATTGTGAATAGATGTAGAGTAGAGATCGATTCTGGAGCTCACCTTGACAAAGCTACAAGTCACCACCACCGAAATTGTGACAAAGAAATAAACTGCAACATTGTTTCTCCTCAAGTATAGACCTTCCATCCCTATATTGTTCAAATTTCATATAAGAAAGCAAACAATTAATGAGGGGTGTCATTTTTTGATGGCAGATGATGAATTGGTTCCACCCTCTCCCTCCAAGTCCTAGTGTATGCACAAATACACATCAATCTTTCAAACAGTATTCTTTTTTAATTATTATTTAATTATTTTAGAATAATGATTACTCTGATGAGGCTTAATTAGCACCCATTAGGCTACCACCACTTCATTGGACGTTAAAATACTATCAGCTAAACACTACAAAACACATGCACAATTGAGATTCTTGTGAAGTTTAAATTAATCATGTTCTACTACAGAATTATTTTATACTAAACTCAAATCTAATGAAGCTAGGATAAACTAGGAGATCAGAAAATTCTGCAAAGAATAGTCTAATGATGAAGAAGCATATTAGAGAAAGAGAGTGGAATGAGAAAATTCTTTGAACGGTAGATTGAAGGGAGGAATGAAGAGTAAAATCCTTGATTAAAGCCTATTATCATAGTCTTACCAATAATTCTGAAAGCCCTTGATTAAAGTCATCAATCCCTCTTCTTTCCCAGCAATTTGAGTGGTTGATTGTGTCCAACATCAACGGCTGCCAATCAGTCATCGTTGAGAGATATAGAATTAGGAATATAGATGAAGGGAGGACACTTGGGTAACTGGTAGGTTTTTACTTTTGACAAGTGTTGTAGATTTTCTACTTATATCCACTAATATTTTACTTTTTAAAAAATAAAAAATAAAACTTTACTATTTTTAGTTTAAGGCGGGGTTATTTCCCTCCTCTTTCGGCCCAAACTTTCCCTCTCTTTTATTGGTGCAATTTTACTTTACCCTCCAACAACTAGTAAAGGATTTCAAACAATTTTCTTTTTAAAGAGAATCATCACCAATAGAGTGACTCTTAATTTTAAAATTCTTTATTAATTTGACACTGTTGGTATGCATGATTAACTTTTGTTTCATTCATGTAGAAATTAATCATTATTTTATGTATTAGATAAAATTTTTTTTTTTTTGTCTTTTTTGTTGTTAGCTTAAAGATGCTATTTTTAAACATTGTGACCATTATGATTAAGATATTGTATTCTGTCAAATTAATGAAAATGAAGGCTTATTAATTTTTTGAACCATTTTGACCGTATGTATGTAAGGAAATCTTTGCTAGATAAAAGCCATGGTTTTTAGAATCATTAAATTAAAAAGCGACTTTTTTCAATGTCATAGTCGGTTATTTCAATCTCATTATCATTATACTATTAAGATATAAGTTGTACTATTTCCAAGAATCAAATCATTCACTAATCGGGGTTAGTATCTTGTATGTTGCAAAGTCAAAGTTTCGATTCCTATTGTTAACACTGGAATTAAATAAGAGCTGTAAATTATAATCACTCCTTTCGTTTTACAAAAATATATAGTCAAATTCAAAAAAAAAATAAAATAGCAAGCGTGGCTATTTTTTATTTCAGAAAGAGTGTACTGTTTTAAATGACTTCAAATAGATATAACACATTAATGTAGTTAATACAACATATATCCCATGTACTCCTTTGAGAGTCAATTATATCTAATACATATGAACTAGTAAATTGATAGCTATTTGTCTTTACTAAATCCAAATTATACTTGTGTATCTAAATTTAATTTCGGCAGTTAGTTCGTGATCTAGTTGCTTTGTAATCTAGTGATGGTTTAAGTAGTCATCTCATAGTTACCGTGATTGCTATGTTGATAAAATCTGTGATCTAGTGATTTAAAGTATTGTCACAACTATTCAAACTAGACTACTATTATTCCTATTTGAGAATTACTTTTTTTTTTGTAATGTTATCTTAAAAAGT